TTTATATAGTACAAGTATAGTTTTTTTCCAGTAGAAAAACTACTGGGCAATTTTATCCTTATGATCATAATGCCTACTTATCATAAATCTTAATATTCCAGTTGAACTCTTTGGATTTGGAATATTGTCACAAGTAGCATATGACAAGAGAAATCAGGTTAAGAATGTAAAGACATCTATGTTATAATGCATGTTGGCTCAGGAATTCTGGGAGTTGAAGTTCACCGATTGTTAAAGGGACATAGTTCCCCACCCCTGTTATAAATGGGGGACAATCTCCAATTTGCAGCCACTTGCTCATTAAAATTCACCTGCCATTGGCTAACATTCCACATCTAAAACACATACACATACACGTCTTTGCTCATTTTGTGTGTAAAGACATACCTTGGATTCATATCAACTATCCCTAGCTTACTCCCAGTTTTTAACCAACAGTTATATAAACTTTATAACTGTTCTGTCATTTCTTGGCAGCTTCTGTAATGTATACATATACACATACTTATGTATATATATATACATAATGTAGACATGTAAGATACATGTTCCACCTTATATGGTGTTTGCTTCTATGTTTATCTCCACTTCCATTCTTCTGAATTATCCCAGTACAATGCAGCCAAAAGAATTAGGGATCTGGAAGGAGAAGCCCATGGGGGTTTTGGGTAGAGCCACTGCATGCATATGAAAGATGAGACTTCACTGAGTCATAATAGTTACCTTCAGGTATCCAAAAAAGTGATATATATAAGACAGGACAGAATTATTCAGAGTTGTTCCTCAAGATAGGGCCACCAATGGGTTTAAATTGCCAAGAAGTAGATTTTGATTGGACATTAGGAGGAACTTCTAAGTATAATAGCTGTTTAACAATATGAGAGTCTATCTTTGGAGATAGTGGCCATCTGGAGGTGGAGGTGTTTTAAGTAATGTCTGCATAGCCATCTATTATAGATACTGCAATAATAGATCCCTAAACTTGACAGAGAGTTGGTCTAGATCAGGGCTGTCAAACTCACGGCCCACGGGCTGGATGCATCACCTACTAGCCACACCCACACCCAGTTTGGTGAAGGGGAAAAAGTCGTGATACGTCACATGACGTTGCTGTGAGGACGCAAGTTTGACACCCCTGGTCTAGATGTTCAAAACAGGGTTTTGCAGATCCAGTGAAGAACCAAGCAAAACTGTCAGTGAGAAATGATTGGTTCCTGGCAGACTGCTACAACTGTCTTCCAAATGCATAGTTTGGGCCACCTGAAGATTTCTGCGCTAACAAATAATGAGAGAAATGCTTGATATATGTTTGGAATGCCACACTACAATTGAGGATATCCATCGTCAAATTCCTCTTCACTCACTGAGCTAGTCACTTCTTTCAATCTAACTTATTTATAAGAGTTATTGTGAGGATAATATGAAAAACCAAAGAGAAAATGAAAGACAGTATTGGCTGCTGAACTATAGATGGTCACCAACAGTGACCATGCAGTTGCAGCTCAGCTGCTTCTTGTGGACCATAGGTACAAATGAGACACTAGAACAGCAGTTAATTATTTTTCTATTTTTAATTACTCTTTCTTATTCTTTTTCTCCTTGGGATAATTACAATTCCTCTCCTTTTTTTCTTTTTGCTCTTTAACTTAGGAAAATACAAAATATGTTATTTCTCAATTTTAATTGTTTTCTTTTTTTACTTTTATTACTTGGGTACAAAGACAAATAGTAAAATAAGAAAAGCAGAAAAATATTTTTAAAAAGAAATAAGAACAAATAAAAGAAATAAAAGAAAAATAAATAAATAATAGAAGTAATAACAAAAAGAAAAAGTGAAAGACATGCAGCTGCTTTGTGTAAAGCCAGAAGGGTGACTATGGGCCAATCACTCACTCTCAGCTCACCCCACCCCAGAGGGTTGTTGTGGGAAAATAGGAGGAAATATACTGCCAACATACTTTCTTCATGAAAGGGACGCCCACTCTCAGGAGTCATTGCAGAAACTGTCCTGAGCAAACTAGAACAACATATTTCAAAACTACACACCAAAATTTATTTCTGTTGTTACATGGATTACATGTTTGTCATTATTAAAAGAAATGCACTGAAAGACTTTCATACCCTACTTAACTCCATCTTCCCAGATATACAATTCGCAATGAAGGAAGAAATGACTAGACAGTTACATTTTTAGATGTGCTAGTCAACAGGCAAGAAGATAGAAACCTAGAAACTATGGTTTATCGCAAGGCCACCAACACTCCACTCATTATTTAGTTTCAACAATAACTATCCACTGCAACACAAAAAGAGTTGCATCAAAACACTTCATGGCAGGGTGAGAATCCACTGTAGTACCCAGCAAGCTAAACAAGTACTGAAGTGCACAGTTCAGCAGAATGGGTACCCACAAGCATTTATTACAAGATGCCTGCACAACACATACAAAGGAAAGGAAAGGAAAGGAAAGGAAGGAAGGAAGAAAGGAAGAAAGGAAGAAAGAAAGAAAGAAAGAAAGAAAGAAAGAAAGAAAGAAAGTACAAGATCAACTTTATGTCATATCTTGCCATACATCAAAAACATTTCAGAAGCAGAAGAACACAGCTTCTGAGATCTCGAATGGGCATTACACACTGCCAGAGGCTACCATACAAGGACAAATCATGATCGCTTGGAGCAAAGATCGCTTGGAGGTGGGAGATACTTCTAATGTAATCTACTGAATCCCCCACATAGATTGTCCCTGTGACTATGTAGGACAGACGGGTAAGAATCTAACCACCAGATTGCAAGAATACAGGCGAGCTTTCAGACGAGGAGACCCAAATTCACTGGTAGGCTCACATTGCAATGAATAAGGATGTACATTCAATTATCGCAGTTACTAAGATTGTTGGCCATGCAGGTACAAAGATACCCAGGGAAATGATTGAAGCCTGGGGAACAAGTCCCTTGTCAGTCAACAGGAGTGCTGATTTACCACCACTTATTGGATACGTAGGAGCCAAGGACTTGGCACCACAAAGAAACAACAGCTAATTGCCGGCCATGAACATACCAATCAACCAATAGGCAGGTACCACATAAATATGATGCATACAATATAGCACAAAGCACATATTCCAGTAGAGAGAAGTTCCCTGAAGATGTACTCCAGCATGAATCCAGAAGCTTGGAAGATTAAACCTCATCCCAGTGACCAACCCAGATTGGATCTTGTGTTGGATATGTTTGCCACCTTGAATTATTTGTAAAAAGAATAAAAGGTGGTATCTAAATAAATAATATTTTAAATAGCATAGTACAGTGATGGCGAACCTTTTTTACCTCAGGTGCCGAAAGCGAGTGCTGACACCCATAATGCAATGCCCCCCTGCAGACCCCTGCGCATGCATGCGTGACCGTGCTCCCCTGCCCCACCGCATGAGTGCATGACCCCCCACGCTCCCCCTGCCCATGTCCCCCCACAGGGGCGCATATGCGCGCAACCCATTTTGGTGCTAGCAGGCCTCCCTGAAGCCTAGCACCAAAACCGGAGAGCAGAGGGCGCTGCACCCTACCCCACCCCACCCATAATGCATGCGCACGCGCCTCCTGGCAGGGACCCAAAAATCAGCTGGCCGGTGGGAGGCGCACAGGCATGCGCAGTGGAGCTGACCTGAGTGTCGGCTCACGTGCCTGCAGAAATGGCTCCACATGCCACCTATGGCACACATGCCATAGGTTCACCATCATGGCCATAGTATGTATCCAGAAACTCATGAGTTAGTTAACTCATGAATATCTAGAATGAATGTGATTCTTTTTTATCATTATATCCTTACATTAATGACAAGAATTGTGCTTATTTTGTCCTACTTCGTGTTATTGCCTAGTGGCACTCAAAGCCAGGATTATATTTTCCTGCAACTAATCAAACCAGAATCAGAAGCCAAAGAATTTATTTTATTGTTATTTCAGCTTCCTCAGGTATGAATTACTAGCTTATGCTTGTATATTACACAACCTTCATTAGTTTTCCCTCTATGTAATGAATGGAAGAGAATGAAAGTAAGAATTGAATTTAATACATGGATTTTTATCATTTCTCCTTAGACCAAGACAAATCCATGCATCATGGAAAGGCAGAAGTAATGAGGATGAGGAAATAAAACACAGTTATTTCTAAATTACCTCTGTGGTATGCCTTATTTGGCATACTATGAACTGAATTATAAGAATGAGAAACTTGTATATTGAGGAAGTATGGCAGCAAAAGACTGATCCATGTTTTGGTGTCAAGTCTGATAGGTTACACCATGTCAGGGCAAAATAAAGCTTGTATAAAGAAATTGAGAGCTAAGATAATTAAGTCCAAAACAATATTAGGCTTACCATCCCGATTAGATGTTAAAACCCATTGGGTAACTATTAATGTTGGAGAGTCTTCAGTCAACTCTCATCAGCATTTCCCAAGGAAACAGTGTTCCATAGAAATTGCCAGCAACTCCAGATGAAGCAAAATAGTCATCAAGCCTGACTCTTCATTACTGATTTGCTGTACTGAAATAAATTTGCACTTCAGTTCATGACTCTGCTTTGATAGGTTGATTTGCTAAGTCATAATACCATGTTGAAGATATACACAGTCCTAACAAAACACATGGCAAACTCCTTGAACTGAACTTGACTATAAATCACAGTCCCAGCATAGTTTGATAAAAGACACGTAAACAATTGTATGATATAAATGTTGAAGGTAAGAATTCCCTCTAAAACCTATGGTAGTTTAATTCTATTAATTCCATTGGTCTTATTTCCTGCCTTTCCAGTGTTTCAGCAGTGCCCCTTATCCATGCTTCCTGACCTTGAATCAGTGATGTTTAGCTTCCTGAGAATTACTGGTTCATTGCTTAATTCTTATACATGACAGGTCAAAATGATTCATAGTAACATTTAATCCAAAAATGCATTTAATATATTGTTATTTAATACTTTTATCTAATCCTTTTCATTCCTAGTTTCATGCAATGGATACATTACATAAGCACAACTATGACCTGAGCAGTGCCATTAGTGTTTTGGTTCCCCTTGGAGGTCCTGTTCTTTGTAGAGATGAAATGGAAGAATGGTCGGCATCAGAGGCTAGTTTGTTTGAAGAAGCCCTAGAGAAATATGGTAAAGACTTCAATGACATACGACAAGATTTTGTAAGTAGACATATCTAAATTATTATTAAATTGCCCTTAAATCTTTTACAGTGTTGTGTTCTGACCCAGCTACCCAAACCCAACAAACCCTTTGTATTTAAATCAATTATTCCTTTATTAGGAGCGCAAGCAGCCCCGGCAAAAAGTTTATCTCTCACCTTAGGCTAACAAGTCTGCCTGGCAAGGAGATGAATAGTTGTCTGCCACATCTATTCATCTCCACCCCCTTCCTTTTATCCCCAGAGCTAGGGTGGGGCTTCGCTAACAGCAGTGGCTCTTCCGTCCCAAGGATCGGCCCACAGATTTCCACTCCTCTCCTCTCCTCTCCTCTGCCTTCTGTGCATCCGCACATCAGGCTCTGGGCCCAGCTATTCCTCCTCTTCCTCATCAACCGCCTCCAGACCTGGGTCTGTTGACTCTCCATCTGAGGACTGATGGATGGTCCAGGTTCCACCTCTGTCTCTCTCCAACAGCTCTATTCCCTCTTCCCACTCAGAGCTCTCAGGTTGCCTTGATGCTGACCCTGACTCCCATGCCTCCTCATCTGATTAAGCTGTTGGAGGGGCCGGCGGCCAACAGGCCACAACACGTTGTTTTCCTATTCCACAATCAATTAAACTAAAGATCTGTTACTATGAGCTTATTTTTCTACATAAGGGCAGTCTACTACAGTACCTGATATGATGGAGGTACTTAGGCCACTAAAATACAGTAGTACAGTGGTCTAAAGCACCTTGTTATTAAGACCAGCTGCCTGCAATTACTGCAGGTTCGAATCTCGCCAGGCTCAAGGTTGACTCAGCCTTCCATCCTTTCTAAGGTAGGTAAATTGAGGACCCAGTTGTGGGGGCAATAAGCTGACTTTGTATAAATATACAAAAAGGATGAAGGCTATTGCTTAGCACATTGTAAGCCGCCCTGAGTCTCTGGAGAAGGGCGGCATAGAAATCAATTTTTTAAAAAAAATCTTCAACAATTCTTGCTATTAGGGCTGGGGATCTTGGAAAACAGCAAGGGGGCAGAATGGATAAATCTCCAATTGAAAGTGTGCAATACAACTTTTTTTAATACATCTGTAAAACATTATACTTTTCAGAGGTATAAGGATTACTGTATTCTTGTATGCAGGATTGAGGGACCTGGGATATTGCTGAACTATACTTCCATTATGTCTCGTTTGTCGTTCTGAGTAGTGCTTTTGTCATTTCTAGTTTAATGATATTAGACAGGCCGGAGGTTTTCCACCTCCTTCATAATGCCACACTTTAGAAATAAACAACCTGAAGCAATAATCAAAACATTTGTAGTTTCTAATAATTTTATTTTTTTATAAAAATATTTAAATAGTATTAGATATAAATACATTGAATTATGCCCATTCATTTTATTTATTTATCAGGGTTATTACATGATGCAATCCCAAGTGTAGTTTATAGTAATGAAACATAAAAATAAAAACATATACAATAAAACATTAAAAATTACAGAATTAGAATATGATAAAATCCAAAGTGCCAAAAAGTATAATCATCTTTCTTAGGCATTATGCATTACATTAGAATCTCCAAAACAGTTCTGATGTTGCTGGTTTCTGGAAGGTTAAAATGTAAGAGCCAGTCCTGGTTGAAGTAGGAGGCTGTTTCCAGTTGTAGGTGCTACCACAGAAATTCAGTTCCTGTGACTTTCCCCAGGTATAATGCCTCATGGAAATTGGGAACCAGCAACAGTTTCTGTCAGGACAAATGAGTTAAGCAGGCATTTTCTAGTTGGAGAAAACAGTCGTGAAGATATTTCAATGCCTAGCATATAAAACTTTATAAACTACAACCAGCACTTTGAATTGTCCTTGGATGTTAATTGGAAGTCAATACAGCACAGGTGTAATATAAATGAGCGAATGAAGGTGAATACACGTGTACCAGGATAATGTTCCAGGATTCAACCTGGGCTCCAGAACGAGTCCAAATGCTTTGAAGATTAATCCTCTGGTCCCGGTGACTGACCCAAATTGGATCCTGTAATATAAACTCATTTGAAGTTTCTAGTATTTTTGGAGATGAGGAATGTTGTTGGCTCTGCATGATTAAGCCAGTTTCCTAGGAGTTGGATTTGGCTGCACCAACTCAAGTTCATAGTTTTTGAGCTTGGAAAAAGAACAAGATTTAACAAATCTCCCTAAACTTGAAATTCAGAGCCAGGAAGAAAAGGAGAAAAACTCTCCTGTTTTATCTTTCATAATAGAAACATTTAAATAATTGCTATTTAAAAATCAGAAATCTTCATAGGAGACTCTAGCCATCTCTGATATATGTAGTACAATATAAGAGCCATTTCCCCTTTGTTTAGTACAGGAACAGATTGCTCCTGAAAAAGACCTAAATAGAAGAATTATTTTTCCCCTGGGGACAAAGTTTTCCAACCCTTTAACAGGATTTCTTACAGTTTTAAATTCCAAGAATAGTGGACAAGCGTACCATATTTTCCAGTTCTTAGAAGAAACGAAATTATATTTCGGTCAAGAGTTCACAAGCAAGCTCTTAATATATATTCACCTGAAACTATCAGAGGATCTTCTCTTTCCCCAACTGCGCTCATTGACATCAATTCACAAATCGCATATAGCTTAAATGACCACCAGGAGGCATTATATGACAGTTTTTGTCTCATTAGGAACTTGTCAAACATAGATAGTTAGAACCTATGGGGGTTCTATGAGTTCAAAACCTCTACTGGGAATCAGATGTATGGATCTTTGCACTTTAGATAATAGCATGTTAGTTTTAGAAGCTGTCCATTTACTGGTGTTCAGTGGAGATGCATAAAAAGATCCATTAGAATAGTATATACGGTCTACCTTCCCTTATCCTTCAGAGAAGAGTGGTACAGATGTTACATAATGTTATGCCCTTATGTCTAGGTTTTACGTGACTTTCATCTCTACAAAAAATAGTTTTTCTCCGATAGCCTAACTGTTTTTCATCATTTTCATTTTTTAAATGTAATTTTGTATTTAATGTTTTTCAGCTTCCTTGGAAATCTCTGACTAGCATCATTGAATATTATTATATGTGGAAAACCACAGATAGATATATTCAGCAGGTAATTTTTTTGAATTTATAACATTCAAATCTATTGTGTGATATAAAACAATATCTAAATGAACATTTTTAAGATGGGGCTTTCAGGTTTTACAAAATCCCTACATAAAAGGTTCAACTAAATGGGAATGTGCATGTAACATAAAGCCTTCATTGTCACTCCAGCTGGTTTGCTCTAAATCTGTGATGGTGAATCTATGGCACCTGTGCCAGAGGTGGCACGCAGAGCCCTCTCTGTGGGAATGTGTGCCATTGCCAGCTGCTCTTCGGGTTTCCATCGCACAGATGCGCGCTGGCCAGCTGGTCTTTGTGCGCACCAGAGCGCTGGAAAACCTCTGTGGGCACATGCCCACAGAGCATTTCTGTCCTTTCAGTAAGCACTGTATGCCTGCATGTACTCAAGGCATGGGGGCTGGGAAGTTAAATGATCTGTGAGACATTGCTATTGAATTTTTATTGGGTTTGCTTTTGGCTATTTTAGATTTTTACACTTTTGTTGATACTGTGTTTTGTATTGTTTTGTAGTGTGTTCTTAGCCACCAGGGGTCAGATCTGTGAGATGGGTTGCAATGTAATTTGAGTAAGCAGATAAATCTGGAGGAAACCGAGTTGAGGAAGGCCATGTTAGGTTACCATGCATAATAATTTCAAAGTACTAATTCCTGTAATTTCATTTCCCCCCCTAAGGGTTTAATTGGACCTGGAGGCATTCAGGATTTGCCCTGAATCCAGAATAGCTGTTATGCAAAAATGAATTTTTATGGGAGGGCAAAACATCAGGAATTTGACCAATTCTTTTATTGTCATCATGCCAGGATATCTTTCAGGCTTTTCTGGAGGTTTTCCTAATTAGAATTTTCTTCCTGGATCTCAGGATTCGAGCCTTTTTCATTGAAGTATTTCAGTTACACTTCCTGAAATTTGATCTCTTGCCATTAATGGCAGCTATGCAGAGTTTAAACCACCCTAGCCAAAGTTGTCTCATAAATGAAGATAAGAAATCATAGTTTGAATCCAACTTATTTGAATGATTTATTATCTAGTAGTTTATATAAATAATATGTGATCTACAGTTTCAGGATCCAGGCATAGTTGAGAAAGATAACTTGTCTTTCACTTTCTTCCTCTTGTAAGCAGAATAAAAAAGGGTATATACATGCCCAAAGTCTTCTACAGCTTGATTTCAGTCATCTGAATCCTGGGAGACAGTGAAACTAAGACATTGGTTGTTGTTGCCTTTCTCCATAAAAGTTAACTGTCTCATTGTGGCTCACTCTTTAGCAAGTCCTTATAGAATGAGCCATTTCAATTGCATTATACTTATACCTTGTTCTTTGGCTGTTTGTGATCCAATAGATGCAGAACAGAGTTTTTTCAACTCATTGTTAAATTAACTAATTCAACTAATATGTTTCAACTAATATGTTAAAGAAGCAGTTAAAGAGCAGAAGGGTCCATATTATTGCTACATACACAGTGGAAAACATTGTGAAAAAGCTTATCAGAAGTGGTAAATAAGGATTGGTGCGTAACTAAATTTTATACCATATGGATATAATCACACTTTCCAACTAGCTTTCCTTAGTTTCAATTAGTACAGAACATTATACATTCTTTCCATTTAAATAGATTTCTTCTATACCATACAATGGTATTTTAACTTGTATGATGAACTTTGAGCAAAAATGTAGCTTCTGGGGGTGTCTTAGCAAGATGTGAGTCAATGTTAATATGATTAGTTTTAAAGGTATGTCTGCCCTAGGTGTTTAGATGGGAAAACCTAACAGTGATTATGATATATTATTTTTAATGTATTTTTATTTACTGAATCTGTCCCCCCAACCCGAAATTATTATGGACTTTGTTATTTAATAAAAACTGTAATATGTGTGTGTGTTATACCATATTTGTGCATGTATATGTATTATAGTGATGATTGCAATTACTTGGAACATTTTAATAATTACTTTAGCAACATCACTGTTTTTTGTGTTATTGTAAAAACTCACCTTAAAGAATGCTATAATGTTCTTTCTTTGGTTAACAACAGGGTTTTTGTTGATACTCTTTTAAGCATAAGCAACAGATCTAGTTTTGACAGTACTGACTTTCAAATGTGTAGAAATCTGAGGATCTTATAGGAATTATCCTCGGCCAGCTTCAATTCTCCCTTATGTTTGTAAGCTATAAATATACATAAGGAAACCCACATTTCATTTGAATGCAAGTTCAACTTAAATTTGTACAAGAAATTTTTAGCTTAAACTATATTGTCAATTGAGAGAAACCAAATCTTTCAATAAAGATGTTAATATTTTTAAATAATTTTTGTTAAAAGTTTAAAAGAATAAAATCTAACACAATCTAATAGAGAATAAAGAAAACAAAAGGAAAAAAAATCAAAAGTGCAGAAAGAAAAGATAAAAAGAAATAGAAGCTTCTAATTTCCTTTGCAGCAAATATAAGCATGATTACAAAGTGGTTGTATGGTTACACCCCCCCCAAAAAACCCCACACTTTTGTCATTATCTATTTTTTTTTCTAATCAAATTTGCAAGTCATGTGCACTGTTTTTGTGTTTCATGCAAAAAGTCTATAAGCATTTTCCTTTCTCTAATCAAGGAAGTGCATTCAACTATCTGTGCAAGAAATGTTATTATATTGACATACTGCTTTCTTCTTATGGGATGCCTACAATGACTGAATGATTCTTAAAACAGCTTTGTTAAAAGTTTTCATTAAGGCTGCTATTTTTAAGTTGTAATTAAATTATTCAAACCCAATGAGAAAAATCCAACGATGAGTACTCAAGTAAATAAAAAATCTGGTATAGTCTAATTGTATCTGGAAGGGATATCTAGAAGTGAAGTGTCGCTATACCAAAATCCTTTCCTTGATTGCCTATGCAGCCAAATCTCCATGGACAGAAGCCTCGGAAGCCTCTGATATAAGTCTTAAAGACTAAGCTGTTTAATGTAATATTTTGTACAACATTGTAATATTAACATTGTGTTATGCACTAAATTATTCATCTTTTCTATTAGAAACGTCTAAAAGCTGCTGAAGCAGAGAGTAAACTCAAGCAAGTTTACATACCAACTTAGTAAGTATAACAAACACTAATACTTTTATTTTAAAATTAATTTCAGTGTATAGACAACAAATCTTAGGTTTTTTTATTGAAGAAGCAAAAAATAAGCATTGATAAAACTTTATTTTGACTCAGGGTTGACTCAGCCTTCCATCCTTTCCAGGTTGGTAAAATGAGGACCCAGGTTGTTGGGGACAATATGCTGACTCTAAACTGCTTAGAGAGGGCTGTAAAGCACTGTGAAGCGGTATATAAGTCTAAGTGCTATTGCTATTTTAACATTTAACAAACTTTGGTAAAATCCAGTAAGACCCAGAATCATGTTTGACATTAATAAAATAAATTTTGACTATTTTTATGTAAAGGTATTACTGGACATTCATGGCTTTTTCAGCTTCAGTTGAGCTCCACAGAACTTTATTCTCCCCTGGTCCTATTTAATGTCTGTACAAAGCTGCTTTTTGAGGCCATTCATTAGTATGGGGTTAAAATCATCTGTGTGTTGTTATGTCATTTATACACCTCTACATATTGATAATCTAAACCAAAGTCAGTTTGGTTCACAGCTCAGTTGAGTTGCCAACAAACCTTTGAATCAAACTCTCACATAGCTCTAGTAGTTAGCTAAGAATTTATTTAAAAATGTCTCTGCCATATAGCTCATGGAATTAATGCATGTGTGATCATTTTAAAGCAACAAACCGAATCCCAGTCAGATATCCAGCAATAATGGAAAACCAGGCGCCATGAATGGGGCAGTTGGAGCACCACACCAGACTCAGAACTCACTAATAGGCCGTGCTTGTGAAAGTTGCTACAGTAAGTAAAAGTATGTGTGTGTGTGTGTGTGTGTGTGCACATCCTCAGAGATGTGTATGGGTCCTTTCTTCTGGAAGGAGCTTCCTCATAAAGGAAAATGTGAAGTGAATGGAGAAATCTAGTCACAAAATGTTCTATGTGTACATCATTCATCAAGAGTTTTAAGTATACATCAGTATGTATATATCATTTGTAAAGAAAGAGAGCGCAATTAGTCTATACTATTTTTGAAAAAAGTATACTGTCATCCTGTGCCTCTATATTTATGTATAAATATGTTAGTAAGTATTTATCCTACATATATTGACTAGATTTTATTTTCTTCTTCTTTTAGTTACACAGTCGCATCAATGGTATTCCTGGGGTCCACCCAACATGCAGTGTAGATTATGTGCACCATGTTGGATTTATTGGAAAAAATATGGTGGTCTTAAAATGCCAACTCTAACAAATGAAGATAGATTTTCACCCAATCAAACCACAGAGGTAATGCTTCTTTGCTGGTGGTACTTAGCATCTTTGCTATTTCGTCTTAATTCATGTGCACATCTTTGCTATTTTGTCTTAATTCATGTGCTTCATTTTCCTTTGTAAAGATACAGTGTACATTTTAAAATTATATTTAAACAATTGTATGGCTTAGTCAGATAACTTTTACAAGTTTTGTGTATGCTACTAAATTACAGTATTTCCCAATTTAGTACTTTCCAAATGTGTTGGAATTATATCTACATCGTAGTAGTTACGTATGTATTTAGAGACATAACTTCCTTGAATAATTTCCTTCTTGCACTTCCCACTTACTTGGCCAACCATGCTGTACCCACATTCCATTCCCCATTCTGTCTTGCCTGTTTTCCTCCTGATACAACTCCAGATCATCAGTCTCAATTCTGACTCCTCTTCCTCCAGCTTGGGTGGCCTGATAAATTTTCATCATATATCTTGCCTAGTAGGGAAATGAAGTTGTTTTATTCTTCAGCCACAGCAATATGTACATCCAAGAGGCCATGGCTAAAGAAGAGGTAGCTGACGGAAGAGCAGGGAGCCAGAACATCAGAACCTCCTGTTGGATATTGCAAAGCGTCCACTCGGCCTCAGCCTCAGCCTGTCTCTTGTAAAACTCCTTTCTATGGAATGAACTTTTAGGTTTGTTCTTGATCATTTCAGAGGACCAACCCAGACGGAATTCAATGCATAGAGGAGATTCCAGACAGAAATGTGTTTAACTTCAATGTAATTTTTATTGTTGTTACTGTTATTATTGCTATTGTTATTTATTAAATGTATATGTCACGAGTCTCCCAACAACTCTGGGCAGTTATAGACTAAAAATATTAAAAACAAGAAATACAATGATAGACCAAAAAATTAAGAGTAATTTATATTTAAAAAATTGATTTGTATAATTGCCCATCTAAAACCATTGGCTTTGGGTGGCAGTATTGTTATTATTGTTATTATTTCTTTCAGGATTCGTGTGTCCGAACACATATGTCACGACAAGCAACTCAGGGCATACCAGTCCGGAACACTGGTAGTCCAAAATCTGCAGTGAAGACACGTCAATCTTTCTTTCTTCATACTACATATTTGACTAAACTTGCCCGCCAGGTTTGCAGAAATACCTTACAACTGAAGCGAGCTGCAAGAAGACCTTTTGCCCTTATTAACTGTGCTGCCATTAGGGCAGAATGTAAGATGTTTCTAAATTCTTAGTTTAATATGTCATTATTCCAGCCACTTTCTGTTGTCTTTTTTTGTCCATTATTATTATTATTAATATTATTTTGGCAATAAACATATTTCTGTCTGTATTCCCTTTGTGTTAATTTTATTTTCATTTGTCTTGTCACCAAAGAAAGTTTTCTAAAACTAATGTAAGATTATAGAAAAAATAAATTTATTACTTACTGAATAATAAAATAGGTTTCTTAAGCAAATGATGGGCAGACTATCCTAGATTTGTGCACCTGCTTCAGATCCTTTTGCCATATATTTCCTTTAATTTCTCAATATTTAATTTATCTGGTGGAAAACAGGCTCACAAACTATTTCTTGGTATAGTATGGAGATTGATTAAATTGATTGTAGATCCAAACATATTGTCCATTGAAAAAAAAACATCCCATTAGTTTAAAAATGAAGAATAATATTCATGGACAATATTCAGGTTAATGGCACTGCACTTTATCTTTGGTAATAACCTTGTCTACTGGAACAGCAAGAAAGCAGGTCCAAAATACTTTTTGAAAGACATATACTAGGACAAATTTCAGGATAATTTTATGAGTTGTCCTAATGACCATTTCATCACAAGAAATGAACCGTTTTTGAGGCAGCTGTAGGTTCTTGACAAATGTTAACATCTTTGTGTAATGACAGTAGCAAAAACATAGGACCCCTGTCACATAAGACATCCCAAAGGTTAATCCTTTCTTTTTTGTACATTTTGTACTTCTCAGTTCACTTCCTCATCATTGGTCAGCTAATTGTTGTCATATGATTCTCACATTTCTGAGTGATGGACAAGGGAGTCAAAATGGAGTGGATTTTTTGAGTATCATTTTACTGGAAAGTGACTGAATAGACAGAGTTGCTGGTTTATATGATTTTTTTAAACATTTTATTTTATTCATAAATTTTATGTGGTCACTCATCTCACAAACAAGTGACTGTGCGGTGTACAACAGAGCTAAAAACAATGTATACCAAACTAGGGAGGGAGGATATTCCATAAAACGGGCCACCCCAGCAGAAAAGGCGCACTGCCTAGGACCTACCAACTGTAGCTCCTTAGCCAGTGGGAGCCACAGCATACCCTTTCTGCTGGATCTGGTAAGATAGGTAGATGAGGGAGCCATGATACCTCATATAACCCAATCCTATGCCATGTAGGGCTTTAAAGATCAAAAAGAATATCTTGAATTGGAGCAAGAAACAGACTGGTAACCAGTGCAGTTTGTGGACCAGAGGTGTAATGTGTATTCTAGAAGAACTGGTATCTATGCTGCTGCATTTTGCATTAGCTGAAGCTTCTGGAAAGTTTTCAAGGGCAGTCCCATGTACAATGCATTAAAATGGTCTGGCTGGAAGGTGACTAGAATTATTTTGAAAATGTGAATTTTTTAAATGTTAAAAGTTGCCTCTTTTGCAAATTGAGAGTTGAAAAGCAACGGGGATGAAGTAGTATTTTAATAATTGAACACTTTTTCCCCAAAGTGTTCGGAAATTTTTTTACGACTGTTTTCCATATTATTTTTAAGCCTTTTCTCATGTGTTTATTTCTTTTCACAAAACATAGCTCTCACACTTTTTCATTTATTTAAATTTTTCATTGATAGCTTTGCTTTTAAAGTGGGTAACACTTTTATGTAATATAATCCTTTTCTATTGCGAAAAAGGTAGAATTAATTCTAGGCATACAATAAATAACACACCATGTGGTACATTAGTGGATATGAGACTGAGGGAGACATAGCTTGATCCAAAGTCTATTCTTTGTCTCTAAGCAGGTTATACAGATTTTTCTGACCCTTCTACTACCCGTTTATGGTTCTTCAAAACCAGGTTAACTTATATCCAGTGGGATGTGATCAGTAATGTCCAAATGAACTAGTAATAAACTGCTCTACAATATATAGAGTAGTTTGTAAACATTAATTTATATAATTCATTTTAAGTTATTTGTACCATTAATATTCTTACAAGAGCTGGGTTAGGACTATTTTAGTTGGATCCATTTTTCTATAGAGATTTGGATCTTAATTGCTTGTGCAATGTGACAAGCATCCATCACAAGTGAACATAAATTCAGACAACACCTTAAAATTGTTAAGCTTTTAAATGTTTTATAAACCATGATAGAATGAGATAGATTGTAAATAATATGCAATATTATTTAACCTGTTACAATTTATTTCATTGTTCATGTTCTATTCCTTTATTTTTTATTGTTTGTGGATACTTGCACACAAAATCAGTATCACTGTTCTTGACAGTTTAATTATGCCATGTGATCAAATAGCAGCAAAATAATAAGATATATTGAGTATGATCAAATTTTGAGAACCTGAAAGTGTGTAAATTTAGTTTGCATGTCATTTAGTTACACCGTTTTCCTTTGGTTCCATGATTTTATTGGGCTTTCTGCAGAATAGTGCAGTTATCTTTTTTTACTATTATATCTGCAAAGGAAAAGAAAGGTATACTATTAAGGCAATCAGTGTCTGGAGCTCAAGGGAAATAATAAGTAAACATTCAACTTTGTTCCTCCAAAAATATTTGGTCTTGAAATGCCATCTTTGAAAATGGCTATTTGCATACTTTAGATGTTGCTCTACAGTACTATCAAATTGAATCTTGAAGGTTTTGCTATTGTCAAAAAGTTTTTAAGTAGTTAATCTTGATCCAACTTCTGGCAGACCATAATATAAGAATTAGTGGCATACAGTATATTTAGCTTCAATTACAAATTGCACCAATTGGTTTTAGAATGGTGAGAACTAGATATTCTGTTTAGATATCTTGTTAGATATGAAGATCTCTAAACATGGTGAAGCAGACTGGCGCCAGGTCAGCAAAGGAGACACCTTTGAGTAACCTTTCCTTAGGTATTCAAGCTACATGCTAGATATATATTGGAAGATGAGCATGATTTTAAAATTGGAGGAACAAACAATAACCTGCATATGCTGGTGATGCTACCCTGATAGATGGAAATAATATGATCTGCAAGTTCTAGTAATAGAAGTCAAGAAGCACAGTGAAAAAGGGAGTAAGATTAAATATAAACATTAAGGCAATAACAATAAATGTGAGGCCAGTTTGTTGTGATGGTTAAGGAATCACGCTAGAAACTGCAAGACTGAGTTCTAGTCCCACTTTAGGCACAAAGCTAGCTCGGTGACCTTAGGCCAATCCCTTTCTCTCAGCCTTCAGAAGCAGGCAATGGCAAGCCACTTTTGAAATCTTGCCAAGAAAATTGCAGGGACTATTCTAGGCAGTTGCCTAGGACTATTCTAGGAGTCAAGGCTGACTGGAAGGCAGTGATAGTAGAGCAAGCAGTATTAGAACTGACAAAATACTGAAGTTTGTGTCTTTTAGGATCAACTATAAAGGAGTCAGATGTCAAGAAATATGTTGCAGATTAACGGTAGGGTAACATCTTGCACAGTCAAATGCTGTGATGTGTCTTATCTTCAAAGAAAAGAGAACAGGATAAAAAGAGCATTGGCATTTTTGAACTTTAATGTTAGAGAAGACTCCTAAGAATTCCATGGATAGTTGAGAAAAAACAATTGTAGAAGAAATCAATCCAGAATTCTCACTTTGAGGAACAAGTGTTCAGGCTCAAGTACTGTATTCTGCATACATTATGCAAAAGCCCATCCTCTATAATTCTGGAAAAGGTGGAAAGAAAAAAATATAACAGGATGACCATTAGAAAGGTGGATAGCAATAGGTACATTCTTGAAAAACCCAAAAGATTCGGGATAGATCACCCCAGAAAAGAACTGTCTCCATGGTTGCTAAACATTGTAACTGATTTAATGGCACATAATCAAGACTACAGAACTAAAAATAATTCGGTTCCTCAGGAATTTGCACAAATGGCAGTGCCGTGGGAATTTCTAGTTACTAGGAAAGTGTTAACATTGAGCTATGATTTGTGATTCTCACTGAATCGAGCATGGTGCAAAAATCTCCCTGTGTAATATATGGTGTTGAAAATCCATTCTTTGCTATTCATATACCTTTACTTACATCTTTTTCCCATTCATTCTTTTAATGTGTCTTGCCAAGGAATCTCCCTGAGCTTGTAAAATGTCAAAATGAAGAATTAGTTGAAAGTGAAGATAAGGAACAGTAATAACATGGAGAGCACCTTCAGATGAATAGAAGGCAAGCGGAAATGAAGAAGGTCAAACAAGAGGAATAAGTTAGCAAGGGAAATAATTTAGTTTGCCAATTTTCAGCATAAAATTGATCTATAATGAAGTTTATTACATTTGAGAGTAAAGAGTTGCATACTAATGTGTTTTTAAAAGCTTTTTAAAAAGTGTTCTCATAGTTTTTAAGTGTGTGTTTGAAGATAAGCTTTTGCAAATGATTAAAAATGCCTGCAGTAAACCCTGAATCCCTCAGAAAAAAAAACTACTAACTTTGCAACTAAAATATGTTCAAATATCTCCAAAATATTAAACATAAGGATTACTGTTTGCATCTTAGGCTGTTTGTACATGTATATTTGCACAAGCTGTTATGAAGTAATATTCATAACATTCTAAAGATTTAACTATAATACTTTTTGCAGCAATGACATCCTAGTAGAATATGACACTGCATAATCACCTGTATCCCCCAAGAAATTATCTTTTTTCTCAGTGTGCAACCCTGGAGAGAAACAGGTTGCTTAAAACAGTATTTTTCAAACTTGTCAACTTTAAGATGTGTGGACTTCAACTCCCAGAATTTAAAAAGTCCACACATCTCAAAATTGCTAAGTTGGAAATAACATTAGAGATGTTGATATCATTGTTGATACCAATGGTACCATGAATAATTGGGGAATCTCCAGAAGGGCATTATTGTTTTTAAAATATTGTAAATGTTTTTACTCTTCAGGGAAATTGGTGACAAAAATATGTTCAAATCCAATGTTTAAATAATATATTTAATTATATTATTAATGGG